ATTTTGTGAAAGTCGGTTGGGGTTGGACGCTATTGCTAACAGTGCCTTTCCTCGCTATGACTTCGTACACTTTGTGCTGCGGTGATATGAAGAAGATGATGCAACATCATGTACCCCGAATCGCTATTGCAACTTTCTTTTGGTTTTTCTGGACTAAAATGTTCAATATCATTGAAACTTCATACGGCCGTTGCACAGTAAAAGGTAAGAGATTGCTTAATTCATCTTTTTTATATTTCTAAGAGTAATTAAGACGGATTCATAGTTCTAGTACTGAACTTTTTTTCCATGTGGTTGTTGTTGTGCTCCCAGAGAGAGAAGTTCTGAACTAAAGCGATAAATCCGCCTTTAAAAGTTACCTAACTTGAAATTGAAATTGAAAAGTTACCTACCTATATTTTTAGGATTCGGAACAAAATCTGCTTGCCTTAAGGCTGGATACTTATGGAACGGATTCGACATATCAGGACACGCATTTATTTTAATACACTCGAGTCTAGTCCTTATCGAAGAAGCTCGCCCCATCATAAAGTGGGAATCCATCAAAGATTTCCTTCGCAATGAAATGCACGATCGTAGCGTTTCAGAGCATTCAAGCACAAATCCATTGAGAAATCTATCTGAAGAGCAAATACGTAATCTTAATTTTCTTTATGATCGACTAACACCAATCATACGGACCTTGTTTATTGGTATGGCTACGTTACAATTATTATGGGACGTAATGCTAGTTGGTACCATGCTTTATTATCATCACATGGTAGAAAAAGTAATAAGTGGTATAGTTGCCATACTTACTTGGTACTTTACCTACCGCTTCTGGTATCGTACGAATCTGTTACCAGATCCAGCTGGTAGTGGTTCATTCTTTTATCAACGAGACAACAAAGATTCTTTTGTTTATGCGCGACGTCCGACAATGATGACAGCAACAGGGCCTTCGACAAGCGCTGGTAGTCGTATGAATATGGCTGGAGGGATACCGCCTACATTTATGGGCATGCCAATATATACCAACCCACGTGCAGCAAATTTAGCTGGCAGCAGTAGTCAAATCGGCACAAACAAACAAGATCTGGACATGAATACATAGTGATGCCCCTAAGTTACTTAAAAGATACTTGTTTGTGTGTAAAATCATTGTTTTTATCGTTTTTGTTGTTTAGTGATAAGATAAAAATTGTAAATGGTCCAAATGGTACATATTGAGGCTTATTAAGGAGGTAACGGCAAATTGGAATTGTAGTCACTAAGTTCGAAATATGTATTTAATATTGATTCTTGAATCGAATGTTGTAAATCCTTTCTTATATGACAAGAAACTCTAGTAGATCACCTATTTTTCTACGCTTTAATCAGCTAATAACATAAATTCCTTTTACTACTTCCATTGTAACACTGGGGTTTTTATTAAAACTTGCTGAAAGTGGCAAGTAAATATACCCTTTAAATT